AGAGGCGGTGGAGGAAGGGACGCCAGGGGAGGGGCGGCTGACGAGGACTGCACAGGAGGGCCACCAGAGTCAGAAGACTCCTCAACCGGGTCCACCGACGGAAGGGGGGTGACGTGGGACACACCAGAGGGGGCGGGACGGTGAGGAGGAGGAGGAGGGGCAGGGACTACCGGAGAAGGAGGGACGAGGAACAGGGGGGGGGTAACCGGGGGACCACGGTGGGGGAAGCGACGGTAGTAGGAGATGGACTCGTCAAAGGTGAAGTCACGAGAGTGAAAGAAGCGGTGAGACGGCGGGTGGTAAAAGTGCCAGTCGGACGCGTCAAGGGGAAAACCGAGGACGACGCAGGGAAGGGTGCGGGCAGTGAGCTTGTCCGTGCCGGAGGCACGAACGTGAGCAAGGCAGCCCCAGACGTGGAACGCAGACGCGTCACCAGGAGACCCAGTCCACAGACGGGTCGGCGAAACCTGCGGCTGCTGAGGGTGCGGCCACAAGTTAAGCTGGTGAGAAGCGTAGCGCACAGCGAACGGCCACAGAAAATGGGGTGCACCGGCATGGACCATGGAGGTGCGAGCCACCTCCATGACCAAACCGATGCGTCGCTCAGCGACCCCATTCTGCTGTGGGGAGTCCGGTAGGGTGAACGTCTGGGTGATGCCCTCCGCACGACAAAAGCGACCAAGGACACGCAAACTCGCCACCACGGTCTGAGTGAAGTCGCAAGACAGGGAGACCGCGGTGGACACGCGCAGAGACGAGCCAGGGGATGAGAGCGCCAGGCACGTCGGCCTTGCGCTCCAGGGGAAAGACTGTGGTGTAACGAGTGAAGTCGTCGACAAGCACAAGGAAGTAGCGCTCTCGACGCGGCCCAGGGACGGGGGCGGGGCCCCAGACGTCCAGGTGCAGGGTCTGCAGCGGCGCGGCGGTAGGGGGAAACGAGGAGGAGTGAGGGGCACGGCGAAGCCGACCCTCGACGCAAGGCGTGCAAGGTGGGGCTGGGGAGGAGGGAAACGCGGGGAGAGAACCTGGGAGACCAAGGACAAGACCGTGCTGGGACATGTGACGCAGACGCGGGAGCGCAGGGTGACCTAGGCGGTGGTGCCAAAGGAGGGTCGGGTGAGTGAGGGACCGACAGGAGCAGGCAGCAGCAACCTGGGGGAGCGCTCCAGCCGGGGGGGTCACGGTGTCTAGAGTGAACAGGCCGAACACCGGGTCCCGGGGGAACGTGGACAGGGGGGCACCGGTGGCGGCCTCGGTACAGACAGCATACCGCTCGTGACCAGGGAACGTAGTGGTGACGCCAAGGTCCTGGAGGCAGCCGACACCAACTAGGTTCCTAGAGAACGAGGGGATATGCAGACCTGTGAGAGTGCCCGAAGGAACCGCCGGACAGGGAAGGGTGGTGGAACTGCGGGCGACTACCGGACCGCCGGAGGGGTCAGCAAGAGAAACGGCAGCAGGGACAGGAAGCGGCGTCAGGGTGGTGGAGTCGCGGAAGAAACACCGAGAAGCGCCAGAGTCCAAGGTGAAGGAAAGCGAAGCAGAGGCGTCGGGCGACGGAACGACGGCGGAAGCACCAAGACTACACAAAGCAGAGGATCCTGCGCCTGACGCAGCAGGGGAGGGTACACTAGGCACACCTACACTAGGCAACAGTGAGTAATAAGCTGGAAGCACACTAGAGTCAGCAGCATACATCACATGCAGAGCAGAAACAATGGCATCCATGTCCATATCAAAGATCTGAATCTGACGACTTAGCAAACTGTGCCAGTCCGGGAGGTCTGGCGACGGGCCGAAGCGCTGACGAAAGAGGTCGTCCAGGCGACGAAAACAGCGGGGAGTGGAGTGACCGATCTTACCGCAAACGAAGCCGCGGCGAGGACCGGTCTGGATCTGGTACTGACAGCGCCCGCCGCCACTCGACACACCACCACGCGCCCGGCCACCGCCAGCGCCGGGCCACCCGGGCGGGAGGACACTCGTCTGCCGCGTCTGCGACGGCTGCTGCGGCTGCTGCGAAGGCTGCGACTGCGGCGGCTGCTGCAACTGCAGGGGCGGCGACTCAGCTGGACTGGGCAGGGTCCCCTCGTCCGCTCCAGCACCAGACGACCCGACCCCACAACTACCCCCACCCGCACCCCCGCCTCCGCCTCCGCCGCGCCCAACCTTGGGGCGGCGCCCCTTCCCCGAACGAAACTGCGCTGCAGCAGCAGTCTCAGCCACTGCGACAGAGCCGTCGGAGAAGGTACACTGGGCGGGGGCACAACCCTGAAAGATAGGGACCGGCACGACACCGCTCGCCTGGGTGATGGAGCGGTGACGGGTCTTTATCACAGTCAGGGTGTCTACAAAGTCAGTGAGGGTGAGGTCAGCGGGGTGAAGGCTAAGGAAGCGGTCGCGGGCGACAGCAAGGCGGTCAGGGAGGCGGGTGGCAAGCAGGTAGAGGGTAGAGGTAATGGGCGGCTGGTGGGCTCGAAGCTGTGCGTCAGTGCAGGCGGCGCGCCAGGTCTCCTCTATCGAGCGCAGGTGGGCAGCGAGGTCAGAGACAGTGGGGAAAGATGCAAGGTCAGGAAAGAGCATCGGGAGGATCAGGCGACCCACCGAGGCAGCCGGAGGGGTGGAATAGCGCTTGATCACAGCATCTAAGTATGCCTGAGCAGTAGTGAGGGACCTAAAGCGAGGACGCTCGGACGGGGGGAGGGCGTTGCTAATGGCAAGCTGGGCGACAGCATCGCGAGAAAGCCAAACAGAGCGCGCACGGGCAGTGGCAGCAGTAGACTCACGCTCAGTGGGTGTGGGGTCAGCGGGCAGAATAGCAGGGGGGTCTGGGCAGGGGAGCGTACCGTCAAGGTGTGCTGAAAGCGGTTCACCATCCTGCCGCTGGCCAGTGAGTTGGCGGCGGAGGTCGGCAAGCCACGCCTCGAACTCTAGGGGCTGACCTTCAGCGTCGAAGCGAAGCTCCGCCGCCATCAGGAACAGTCCAGTGCGGTGCAGGGCAGTGCAGCTAGGTGGGGCGCGGTGCAGTGCGGTACAGTGCGGTGCAGTGCGGTACAGTGTGGTGCAGTGCAGTGCGGTGCAGTGCGGTGTAGTGCGGTGCAAGGCAGTACCGTGTGGTGCAGGGTGGGGGGAACCGTACCAGGGAGGAGGACAGGGCCGGGGCTGGCGCGACGGGGCCGGGCGGGCGCGACGGGGCCGAGCTGGGCGCGACGGGGCCGGGCTGGGCGCGACGGGGCCGGGCGCGACGGGGCCGGGCGAGGGCGGCAGGGCCGGGCCGGTGCGACGGGGCCGGGCGAGCGGGACGGCGGCCGGGCGGGTGCGACGGGGCCGGTCGGCTGCGACGGGGCCGGGCAGGGTGCGACGGGGCCGGGCTGGCGCGACGGGGCCGGGCTGGTGCGGCAGGGCCGGGACGGGGCGACGGGGCCGAGCGGGCGCGACGGGGCCGGGCGAGTGCGGCAGGGCCGGGCCAGTGCGACGGGGCCGGGCGAGCGGGACGGCAGCCGGGCGGGTGCGACAGGGCCAGGCGGCTGCGACGGGGCCGGGCGGGCGCGACGAGGCCGGGCGGGTGCGACGGCGGCAGGCGGGTTCGACACGGCCCAGGAGGGGCGCGACGGGACCCAGGAGGGGCACGACGGGGGCCTAGGAGAGGCGCTACAGGGGACCAGGAGGGGCGCGACGAGGCCCAGGAGGGGCGCTACGAAGCCCAGGAGGGGCGCGACGGGGCCCAGGAGGGGCGCTACGGGGCCTAGGAGGGGCGTGACGGGGCCTGGGAGGAACGCGACGGGGCCTGGGAGGGGCGCTACAGGGCCCAGGGAGGGCGCGACGGGGCCCAGGAGGGGCGCTACAGGGCCCAGGAGGGGCGCGACGGGGCCCAGTAGGGGCGCTACGGAGCCCAGGAGGGGCGCGACGGGGCCTGGGAGGGGCGCGACGGGGCCCAGGAGGGGCGCTACGGGGCCCAGGAGGGGCGCTACGGGGCCTGGGAGGAGCGCGACGGGGCCCAGAAGGGGCGCTAGGGGGCCTGGGAGGGGCGCGACGGGGCCTGGGAGGGGCGCGACGGGGCCTGGAGGGGCGCTACGAAGCCCAGGAGGGGCGCTACGAAGCCCAGGAGGGGGCGCGACGGGGCCTGGGAGGGGCGCTACAAAGCCCGGGAGGGGCGCTACGAAGCCCAGGAGGGGCGCGACGGGGCCCAAGGAGGACGCGAGTGGGCCTGGGAGGAACGCGACGGGGCCCAGGAGGGGCGCTAGGGGGGCCTGGGAGGGGCGCGACAGGGCCCAGTGAGGGGCGCGACGGGGCTAGGGGGGTCGCGACTGGGCTAGGGGCTAGAGGGGTGAGCGGAAGCGGTAGGTGGGGAGGGATCCTACCTACGCGTGATACCATATCAGAATTGAGAGTTGAATGTTAGATAGAAAGAGAGTACACAAGTATATACCTCAGGGTTGTACCCTCTAAGAGACTACCCTATACAGTCTATACAAACATGACAAGTACACATGTTTGACAGTCTGAACCCCCTCACCCACGAAACGAGCCTCCGTGAAATTGAGGGCGAATTCCTACAAACCAGGATTAGAATCAAGTTGAATCAGAAACGTTAAGTACTGTGATGTGCCGGTGTTTGAAACACATTTTAGTTCGGTTTATTTTGGTTATTCTTGTTTTTTCATTATGATATTTCTAGCTAGGAATTCGCCCCGACGCAAAATTCTCGGTCCCTGAAAGACCAGATGGACCTACACAAGATCTATCTCGCTTAGATCCTAGTTTGGTATATATTTTACCTGGTAGAAACACGCCCTTGATAAACTTTGTGTTTGTGCTTTACATGGGAGACCTTTTTGTAAGAAGTTACATCTATTTCATGAGAAGGCAATTTGGTGTAGTATCAAAATGGAGCTGGTGTTGGAGCCTTCCCAGCTGTCCCTAGGAGGGATTCCTCACAGGCCAACCTTTATCGAGTACAATATGGAGCCAGCACACTTTCATTTCAGGCCACTCTAGGTCGGCTTCACAGCACTCAGTTCGTAAGTGCCTACCGCAACGCTGGAGCCACGCTCTCATGGCTGCTACCCGGCGTTGCACGCGCCTCCTATCCTCGTTTCTGCTCCCGTCTTCCCATAGATCGTGCCTGCCGCAGCGCGTCAATTCGTTCGCCGCCAGACCCGCGTGCTTAGCTTCCGCAGCATCACTGGCGGACCGAGCGGCAGCGGCAGCAGATTCTCTGCCGTGCTCCCCAGCTGTTCGCAGCGCCGCCAGCGCGCGCCCTCACCGCCATCCCGCGCTCTCTTCTTCCGCCTGGTCTCCCCTGGCATCTCCCCCCCGCGCGGACTCGATCGCAGTGGCAGATCTGCTCGGCGCGCCTCAGCCGCCCGCACCTGCCGCCTTCTCAACGGCTGGTCGCCACATCGACTCCGCCCCACGGCAGCCGCTGTCCGCGGACGCCGCCAGCGCCACCAAGGCGGAAGGGTCGGACGGCGGACGCAGCGCGGCGCCAATCGCGGGTGAAGGCGGCAGCGACGAGGAGGACGACCCGATTTTAGCGCGCCGCGCGGGGAACCGGCCGGAAGAAAGGGCGGCGAGCGCGGGTGACGGGCGGCCGCCCAGCGCGGAGGCAGATGGGCGCGGCGACACGGCGAGCGGCGTGAATGGTGGGCGCACGCAGGGTGGGCGTGAACGGCCCCCGCCGGAGTCGGTGACAGAGCACGGAGGGCCTAGTGGACCCGAGCCCACGAGATACGGCGACTGGGAGAAGGGCGGTAGATGCAGCGACTTCTGAGTCAACTCATCGGGTGGCAGATCATGGGGACTGGGAGAAGGGTGGGGTAGGTGCAGGGACTTCTAGGTCCGGGCTCGTGCCACTAGGGTTTAGAACCCTGCCTGTTGTGACTCCGCTAGAAAGCTGTTGTCAAGGGAAGGGAAACCCTACATTTGGCCATGGGAAACAACAGAGTACTACTAGCACGGCGTGTTACTGCGGCCCTTTGTCAGACCTGGACCCTAGTACCTCTTACTCAGACTGTGCTGCACCACACCGAACCCCTTCGAATCTACTCACGTCAGGTTAGTGTGTGATAATGGGCTGCTCCTTATGTGCCAATCCTCAGCGACTTTGGGCAGACTTGGTGAACATGCATGCATGCGTGCGTGCATTGATGCATGTGCTGTTCCAATCTTATTATCTTACTATTCTGCATGTTCGTTCAGCTACTACGGTACCATAGGCAATGTCATTACCAAATGCCATTATTCAGCAGGCAGCAGCAAGCTGCCATGAAGTACCGAGTACAGTTTTGGACACTACATTGCTAAGCAACATGATGGCTTTTTGAGTCCACTCAAAAGTTTTGCAGAGAGTCTGCAGTGCACAGCACACTGCATGGCCACGCAACAGCATGGCCTGGCCTGGTGTGCCATGGCACACCTTCATGCTGCATGCCATGGCATGGCATGGCATGTGCTTGATGCTGTATGGATTCCGAAGCACATTCTGCATACGAGCACGGCTTAGTATGGCGCATTCTTGACTCCTCATGCCACGCAGACTCATCACGAGACAATCTCTTGAGGGAGCTTGGCATTGCCCAGGTATACATACTCCATCTCTGCCTCCCACGCCTGGACCGGAAGGGGGGGGGGGGGGAGGGGGAGAGGGTAAAGGCAGACAGACACCACACACATGTGTGAATGGCAGGGGCACAGCTTGGCATTGCCCAGGTACACATACTCCATCTCTGCCTCCCATGCCTGGGCCGCAGGGGGGGGGAGGGGGGGGGAAGGGGGAAGGGAGAGGGGAAAGGCAGAGACAGAGCGCACACTTGAGTGAAGGTGGATGGGAGCGGTAGTGACCCCTGAGCTTGGCATGGCCCAGGTACACATGCTCCATCGCTGCCTCCCATGCCGGGACCGGGGGAGGGTGGGGGGATGAGGGGAAAGCAACAGACAGATGCCATGCACACGTGTGAACGTGGATAGGAATGGCAGGAACAGCGCCTGGCATTGCCCAGATGCACACACTCCATCTCTGCCTTGCATGCTGGGTGGGAGGGACCCGGGTAAACGGAGTGTACTGAGTCGATTTTTGAGTCGACTAAAAAATCAACTCATTACGCATGCTGGGTGGGAGGGACTGGGGTAAACGGAAGGAGCAAAACACACATCACACTCACATGAGCTTGGCGATTCCTGGATACATATACTCCCTCTCTCCCTTCCACGTGGGGAAGGTGGGGGAGAGCGGACGCGCAAAGATGGATCACATTGGGGGAATGTGGATGGTGCAGTGAATACAATAACACCTGGTAACAAACCCACCTCGCAACAAAGTTACTTGGTAACCACCCGAGAGGCAAGAAAGTTAGTTACCTGGTAATCACCTGAGGGGCAAGAAAATTAGTTACCTGGTAACCACCTGAGAGGCAAGAAAGTAAGTTACCTGGTAACCACCTGAGAGGCAACAATGTTAGTTACCTGGTAACGGAACTCCACACGGATGTGAGGCACGTTGGTGCGATGGATGTCGTTGCTGTCAGGGCCTCGGAGGAAGTAGCGTGGGCCGATCCAATGGGCCTGTGGTGGGGGAGAGGACAACGAGGGGGTGGGGGGGGGAGGCAGGAGAGCGATGAGGTGGTAACTACTATGTCTCGTGCCAGGTGGCAGGGTTGGTGCGATGGATGTTGTTGCTGTCAGGGCCTTGGAGGAAGTAGCGTGGGCCGATCCAATGGGCCTGTTGTGGGGCGGAGTAGAGAGGAGAGGAGAGATGATGCAGTGCTGTCAAATGTGCACGGCTGGTGCAGTGAATTTTCGTTGCTGTCAGTCAGAGGTTTGAAGGATGTAGCCCGGGCGGATCCAATGGGCATAGGGGGAAAGGAGCGATGTGAGGGGGGAGGGTGAATCCACAAGCCGAAGCGATGCTCATTGACCAGAAGATGCCCTTTGAGTTGACTCAAAAACAGAAGGGATGCTCAGTGACAAGGAGATGCTGGGGCGGGTAAGAGGAGAGGAGGAGATGAGAGGGCAAAAAGAGGGAGAATAGATGAGTCAGGACTAGGAAACAGCCGCAGGAGATTAACATTGGCAGGGCACAGGCAGTAGTACCTTGGTGGGGTGCCAGAAACCCGACTGATAGACGGAGTTGCGCGCGATCTCACAGAGGTCGCAGGAGGTGAGGCGCCACACCTGACGTGTGAGGGGGAGGGGGGGGGAAGGGGAGAGGAGGAAAAAGGGGAGTTTTGAGGCGCCTCAAAAGAAATGGGCGAGGAGGAAAAAGGGGAAGAAAAGCATGTTGAGAGGTAAGTGATCCCACAGAGGTCGCAGGAGGTGAGGTGCCACACCTGATGCAGGAGGGGGAGGGGGCACATACCTGTGCTGCGATGCTGTATTCCTCCACCAGAGGCTCCTTGGTGAGGTGGATCATGAGCGGATCATCAGTGGAGAGGGACACATTGAGCCCTCGCGCAAAGAACTGCGGGAAGGGGTTCTTGTGGTAGTCGAGGAAGAGCGAGTTGTTGCTGAGGGGCGACATGGCGAGCCCGATCTGCGCCAGGTAGTACAGGTGCTGCAGGGCCGGCGTGCGCCGCAGGTTGTTGCCGTGCGCAATGTTGTGGGCGGTGAGAAAGGTCGCTGCTAGATGGTCCACATCGCCCGCCTGTGGTGATTAGGAGAGGGCAGCATGGAAAAGAGCAGCAGGAGGGCAATGGGAGCAGAAGCCAGGGGGAGAGAAGGAGCAGGGAACGGGGAATTAGAGTTGTTGCTGAGGGGCGACATGGCGAGCCCAATCTGTGCGAGGTAGTACAGGTGCTGCAGGGCGGGCCGTGATCGATGTTGTGCGCTGTCATGAAGGTGGCTGCTAGATGGTCCACGTCCCCTGCCTGCTGGGGAGAAAGGCACATGGTGATGGTGATGAGGGGTTAGAGGGATGTTGACAATGAGACAGGCGGGCGTGCACCGCAGGTTGTTGCCGTGCGCGGTGTTGTGCGCTGTCAGGAACGTGGCTGCCTGATGATCGACATCGCCTGCCTGTCAGGGAGAAAGGCACATGGTGATGGTGATGAGGGGTTAGAGGGATGTTGACAATGAGACAGGCGGGCGTGCACCACAGGTTGTTGCCGTGCGCGATGTTGTGCGCTGTCAGGAACGTGGCTGCCTGATGATCGACATCGCCTGCCTGTCAGGGAGAAAGGTACATGGTGATGGTGATGAGGGGTTAGAGGGATGTTGACAATGAGACAGGCGGGCGTGCACCACAGGTTGTTGCCGTGCACGATGTTGTGCGCTGTCAGGAACGTGGCTGCCTGATGATCGACATCGCCTGCCTGTCAGGGAGAAAGGCACATAATGATGGTGGCTGTAGAGGGATGGTGAGACTGAGGCAGGGCGGGCGTGTGGCACAGGTTGTTGCCGTGAGCGAGAGAAAGGGAGTTGGTGCTGTGGGGACACATGCTGTGACAGAAAAACAGAGTGGCAGGGTGCAAGGTTGTTGCCATGAGCGATGCAGTGGCGGCTGCCTGATGGTCCATGTGCCCTGTCTGGAGGGGCATAGGGGGGATGCATAGGGGGGATACATGGGGGGGATGCACAGGGGGGATACATGGGGGGGGATGCATGGGGGGGATGCATGGGGGGGATGCATAGGCAGGATGCCGCATAGGGGGGGATGCATCATGCATGGGGGGGATGCATAGGCGGGATGCATGGGGGGGATGCATAGGGGGGATGCATAGGGGGGATGCATGGGGGGGATGCATTGGGGGGGATGCATAGGGGGGGATGCATGGGGGGGGATGCATTGGGGGGATACATGGGGGGGATGCATGGGGGGATGCATGGGGGGGTTGCGTGAGGGGGGGCATGAATCCAGAGCAAATCCTTTGTCGAAGAATTCGCCGATTTTGAGTGTCAACGAGTTGAAGAGGGGTCTGATGTCAAGCTGCTACTTGACGTGGATTTGGGGCATCTTTCGAGTCGATTGTTTTGAATCCATCCAGGATGTGATGATTCGGATTCCTTCTCCATCCCTAGTCTCATCCCCCCAAGGCAGCGTCCCACCCCCCCCCTTCCTTCAAATGAATGCCACCTCCCCTCGTCGTGCCTCCCCAGAGTGGGATCAGAACATGAGAACAGACAGGCTTTTTGTCTCACCTCCCCATCATCCTCACCCCCCCTGCATCTCACCTCCCCCACGTTGCACCTTCTCCCCCCAGGCCTCACCTCCCCAGAGTGCGGTCGGAACTTGAGCACAGACAGGCCCTTGGACTCACGCAGCTGTGAGCAAAAGAGAGAGAGGAAATAGGGAGGGAGGGGAGGAGCATGAGAAAGAAGAGTGAAGGGGGGGGGGGGGGGAGGGGGTTGCGCGAGAGTGAGGTCGGAACTTGGGAGGAGACAGGCCCTTTGACTCGAGCAGCGGTGTGTGTGTCGGTGAGATTGGTGTGCAGTGAACGAGAGGGAGGAGGGACGGGAGATAGGGAGGGGGGAACGTGGGAGCGCGGTCGGAACTTGACTGCAGACAGGCCCTTAGACTCGCGCAGATGTGCGCGCGAAGGGAAGGGAGATTGGGATGCAGTGAAAGGGGGGGAGGAGGGACGGGAGAGAGGGAAGGGGGGAAGGATGGTGGAAGGGGGAAAGGAGGAGCAGGGGGAAAGGAGGAGCAGGGGGATAGAGAAGGGGAAGATGTGGCCAAGGGTACAAGTTTGGGACAAGAAAACACATCCATCATGTAATTTTTCTTGAAGCTCCACTGGGGAATATTTAATCTAAGAAGTCGATTTTTGAGGCGCCTCAAAAATAGACTCCTCACGCACGGATTTCTTGAAGCTCCTGTGGGGAATATTTCATCTAAGAACCAGAGCTTACCCTGTTGAGCTTGTAGAGGTTGGCGTAGAGATAGTAGGTGTAGTAGGCATAGGCGGCTTTGGGATGAAAAGCAAGAGACCATACCCTATAAAGGTCACACACGCACCCTGTTGAGCTTGTATAAGTTCTCATAGACGTAGTAGGTGCAGTAGGTGTAGTAGGCATAGGTGGGGCGGGGATGAAGGGCAAGAGACCATACCCCTTAAAGAGGCATGGGACATAGTCCATCAAGGGTAAGACAGCGTACCCTGTTGAGCTTGTTCAGGTTGGCGTAGGCGTAGTATGTGTAGTATGCATAGACGGAATTGAAGGGGCAAGAGACCATACTCTAAAAGAGCAAGAGACGATACCCTATAAAGAGCAAGAGACCATACCCTATACAGAGCAAGAGACCATACCCCATAAAGAGCACCACCCTGTTGAGCTTGAGTAGGTTCGCATCGACGTAGTAAGTGAAGTACGCATAGGAGGGGTTGAAGGGGCAAGAGACCATACCCTAAAAAGAGCAAGAGACCGTACCCAATAAAGAGCACACACGTACCCTGTTGAGCTTGTAGAGGTTGGCATAGACGTAGTAGGTGTAGTAGGCATAGGCGGGGTTGAAGGGGTTGGTCCACTCGGCCGGGGTGATCATGTGCTTTGTGGGCCGCCTCTCGGGCCGGCTCTCGTCGTCCACCATGTCAAAGCCAACCACCTGGTAGCCAAGGGTGCCAGGGGTGCAATGGAGGGTGGAGAAAGGGGGTGGTCAAGGGGCACGGTAAGGGGTTGAAGGAATGATCCACTCGGCCGGGGTGATCAGTGGAAGGGGTTGGTCCACTCGACCGAGGTGATCAGTGGAAGGGGTTGGTCCACTTGGCTGGGGTGATCATGTGCTCTCGGGTCTGCTCTCATCGTCCACCATGTCGAGCCCCACCACCTGGTATGCAGTGCATAGGAGAGTGGCAAGGGAGGTTGTCAAGGTGCGTGGCAAGGTGCCAAAGGGTGGAAAGGGTTGGTGCACTGTGCTGGGGGGTTGTTATGTGCTTCGTGGGGGGCCGTTCAGGCCGGCTCTCGTCGTCCACCATGTGGAAGCCCCTGGGGTGCACAGCAGGGTGGCAAAGCACGGAGCAAAGCAAAGAGAAGGAATGGTCCACTGGGGCGGGGTGATCACATGTTCCACTGGGGCGGGGTGATCACATGTTCCACTGGGGCGGGGTGATCACATGGTCCACTGGGGCGGGGTGATCACATGGTCCACTGGGGCGGGGTGATCACATGGTCCACTGGGGCGGGGTGATCACATGCTCCACTGGGGCGGGGTGATCACATGCTCCACTGGGGCGGGGTGATCACATGGTCCACTGGGGCGGGGTGATCACATGGTCCACTGGGGCGGGGTGATCACATGCTCCACTGGGGCGGGGTGATCACATGCTCCACTGGGGCGGGGTGATCACATGCTCCACTGGGGCGGGGTGATCACATGCTCCACTGGGGCGGGGTGATCACATGCTCCACTGGGGCGGGGTGATCACATGCTCCACTGGGGCGGGGTGATCACATGGTCCACTGGGGCGGGGTGATCACATGCTCTGTGCTTGGTGGGGCGCCGCTCAGGTCTGCTCTAGTCGTCCACCCTGTCCAACCCAACCACCTGGTAGCCTTGGGGTGCACCCGAGAGAGGCAAGGGGGGTTGCGAACGGATGTGGCAAGAAGGTAAGGCGGTTGAAGGGTTGCTTCACTCGGCATGGGCGGGTGCAAGGGAGGGCCATAGGGGGGTTGAAGGGGTAAGTCCACTTGGTCAGGGTGATCATGTGCTTTGGGGGTTGCCAAGGGACACGGCAATGGGTGGTGCATCCGGCAACATTGCCATTGCCATTGCCATTGCCATTGCCAATACGGTAACACTCTCGCGCGGTTGAGGAAGATGTGCAGGCGCGGTACGCGGAGGGGTCCATGCGGTGACGTGGCATCAAAGAGTGGCAGGAAGATGGGTGACGTGATGGGGACAAGGAACTGAGGGAAAGGAGGAAGACGTGCAGGCGGGGGTGAGAGGAGCCGTGAAAGAAAGAACGAAAGAGGTTTCACTCACGTGGTTGAGGAAGATGTGGAGGTGCGGGTGGGACGAGGGGTCCACAGTGACTTCGAAGAGCGGCAGGAAGATGTTGTCCAGCATGGTCTGGAAGGACGACACGATGCCCATCTCCTTGTACACGTTGTACAGCCGGGGGAGCTGACCTCAGGAGGGAAGACGCAGAGAAGGAAGGGGGAAGCAAGGGGTAGCAACATTGTCGTCCCGCATGGCCTGGAAGGAGCAGACTATGCCCATCTACTTGTACATGTTGTACAGCCGGGGGAGCTGGTGACGGGGGAGGGGGGGTTGTAGGGTTGTGCACGAGGGTAGGAGGCAGGAAGTTACTGCCCAGCATGGTCTGGAAGGGCGAGACTATGCCCGTCTCCTTGTAGACATGGTAGAAGCGGGGGAGCTGAGAACGGGGGGGTGATGGGATGGGGAGAGGAGGAGAAAGTGGAAGGGTAAAGCTATGTTCTGGAAGGGCGAAACTTTGCTCTGGAGGGGCTAGACCATGCCCATCAGAAGACGCCGTGATGACACACGCTGCGATGACGCTGCGGACAAGACAAACACAGGTTGGTTGGTCACACGCGGTTGAGCCACACCTGGATGAGCCAGACGACGTTGGGGCAGTAGAGGTCGTTGTTGACCACCCAGCTGCTGCGGTCAGGTACAAGGCAACCCTCGACATCATCACACTCGAGTAGAACCAGCCCCATCTAGTCACACCTGGATGAGCCACACAACGTTGGGGCAGTAGAGGTCGTTGTTGACCACCCAGCTGGCCAGCTGGTCCCACTCGCTCATCTTGCGCCCGTAGATGGACACGCGGTACTCTGCCATCTGAAAGGGGGGGAGGGGCGTTCAGGCGGGGGAAGAAAGGGGAGAGAGGAGGGGTGGGGAGGATGAGAGGGTCTATAAGCTAACAGCAGTAAGGGTGCCAAGCCAAGGCCAGCTGGTCCCACTCGCTCATCTTGCGCCGTTTGAGGCGCCTCAAAATGGGGAAGGGAGACTCTTGATTCGACTCCTTGTCCGTCCATAGAGTGGACGCCCCGCTCATTGATTCTTGGACATCTTCCAGTGAGCGCGGCGTCAGGAGACAGGTTAGCAAGTAGGAAAAAACAGTAAACTGTAAAAGTGCTTATGTAAACGTGAGTTCGGAGTAGTCGGAGCTCTTCCCTTAACAACACGTGTTTGATTCGACTCCTTATACGTTCATAGATTGACACTCAGAATTCTGCTGACTGAGGCACGGTGGGGGGGTGAAGAGGCGCACAGAACTACACAAGGGGTCTAACATACGCCAACAGGCAGTGATTAATGCCCTAACTTCACCTCACCAGTAAACACAGGATAAAACACATTAAACATATTGGATAGAATACGTTACGCAATAAGTGTATATATGTAAATATATATACATATATATATATATATGTATTCCATGTATCACAGCCCCCTCTCACCTGGTATTTGGACGCAACGAGATCTGTGAACACTTCCTTGGTCACCTCAGCCAAGAACCTTCCTGGAAGGTGGCGGCAGGTACACACGAGTGGGAGCAAGGGTCAGAGGTGGGAGGAAACGAGTGGCAAAGCATGGGAATTGCACTGGGCAGGGTGGGAAGCATACGCTGTTGAGCGCAACAGCACGGAAGGTTGAAAGATGAGAATAGAAGACAGGGGATCGAGTCTCTAGACGCCTGTTCACCTTGATGGTCAGAGGATTGATGCTGGCCTGGCCCGTTAGACCCACCTTGAATGAGGCTATCCTGCCACTGCGGGCACCTTGATAAAGATCTCCCGCACCGGTCTAGTTTTGAGGCGCCTAGTTTTGAGGCGGTCTGCGCTGCTTGATAGAGATCTCCTGCAGCGGTCTGCGCTGCCCGCACGGGTTGTACTGTGTGCTTGAGGTTGACATTGACTAGCGTTGATCCACACACACACTCACCTTGGCATTGACTCGCCTTCACTAGTGTTGAATTGAACCACACTTGGCACCTGGAATCAGGTCACGCTTGATGAAGATCTCTCGCCGTCCGCTCTGCCCGCGCGGGTTGCACTGAAGGTTGCACTGGTCTACAGCCGATCCTGCTTTTGAGTCGACTCAAAAGCTGGACTAGAGCCTCAAAAGACGTTGTCCAGCATGGACTAAGCTGGACTAGAGCCGATCGTCATACCCTGACTTTGACCAGAGTTGGCACACATTCCTCACCTTGACCTTGACTGGCCTTACCTAGTGTTGACCCTCACATCCCACCTTGAATCAAGTTGTCCTGCTTGATGAAGATCTCCCTCAGTCGACTCTGCCCACACGGGTTGTACTTGAGGTTGAACTTGTCGAAGCGGTGGAATGTGTTCTTGTCTGCGTGGACGTCTAAAAGGTCCACGTTCAGGTCATAGCTGGGTGGGGGGGAGAGGGGGGAGGATAGTGTAGGGTGGGGGAGAAGTGAAGAGGGCGTTGGGTCAGGTTGAACTTCAGATCGTAGCTGCAGGGGAAATGGCAAAGAGGCGGATGGGGAAGGGGAGTGGAGAATGTACAGGAGAGGCAAGAACGCAGGTTCGACTTGTCGAAGTGGTTGAATGTATTCTTGTCTGCGCGGACGTCTAGAAGGTCCACGTTCTGACCGCCAGAAGGGGGCTCTGACCGCCAGAAGGGGGCTCTGACCGCCAGAATGGGGCTCTGACCGCCAGAATGGGGCTCTGACTGACAGCCTGTGGATCTCCCTTTCTGCGAGGCCGAGACTCCTGAACACCTCCTGACCACCTCCCGACCACCTCCCGACCACCTCCCGACCACCTCCTGACCACCTCCTGTAGGGCAAGGCCGAGGTACTTGCCATGACTGAAAATGAGAACCTGGTATGAAGATGACGGTGCCCACTGGCACTCACTCACCCTGTGAGGTCGAGGCTCACTCACCCTGTGAGGTCGAGGCTCACTCACCCTGTGAGGTCGAGGCTCACTCACCCTGTGAGGTCGAGGCTCACTCACCCTGTGAGGTCGAGGCTCACTCACCCTGTGAGGTCGAGGCTCACTCACCCTGTGAGGTCGAGGCTCACTCACCCTGTGAGGTCGAGGCTCACTCACCCTGTGAGGTCGAGGCTCACTCACCCTGTGAGGTCGAGGCTCTCAAAGACCTCCTTTAGTGTGAGGTACTTGCCATCACGGAATATGACCACCTGGCAGTCACACACACACACACACACGCACGCACGCACGTGCAACCCCAAGAACGCGCAGCCCCAAGAACGTGCAACCCCATGAACGTGCAACCCCAAGAACGTGCACAAGCACGCAGGTGAGCACGCAGGTGAGCACGCAGGTGAGCACCCAGACACACAAGTGGGAACTGGTGGGGTGCGGAGCACAGATTGCTTGCATTGGTGTGCAAAGAAGAAGCAAGGCAAATGACCACGGGTTGGAAAAGAGGGGCTAGCTAAAGAACACCAGTATCCAACGTCCCTCTTCCACCCCCCCTTTCTCTCACCTCATCATGCTCCTTCCTCATCCATCCCCCCCTTTCTTCATCATGCCCTTTCTCTCACCTCATCATGCTCCTTCCTCATCCATCCCCCCCTTTCTTCATCATGCCCTTTCTCTCACCTCATCATGCTCCTTCCTCATCCATCCCCCCCTTTCTTCATCATGCCCTTTCTCTCACCTCATCATGCTCCTTCCTCATCCATCCCCCCCTTTCTTCATCATGCCCTTTCTCTCACCTCATCATGCTCCTTCCTCATCCATCCCCCCCTTTCTTCATCATGCCCTTTCTCTCACCTCATCATGCTCCTTCCTCATCCATCCCCCCCTTTCTTCATCATGCCCTTTCTCTCACCTCATCATGCTCCTTCCTCATCCATCCCCCCCTTTCTTCATCATGCCCTTTCTCTCACCTCATCATGCTCCTTCCTCATCCATCCCCCCCTTTCTTCATCATGCTCTTTCAACGGCACTCTGCCTGAGTAGAGAGCTTTCTCTCGCCTCATCATCATCCAGTTCATGCTTCTGGTTCATGCACGCACTGTGGTGCCCGTGGGTGTCCACCGGCTCCTTGCGTAGCTTTGACTTGATGAATCGCAGCAGGTGCTTCTGGTTCATGCACGCGCTGTGGTGCACGTGGGTGTCCACATCTCATCAACCCCTCTACCCCTTTCCCCCTCTCCCCCCACCCCCCCGACTCCCCCTCTGTTCTCACCTCATCTGGCTCCTTGCGCAGCTTGGACTTGATGAATCGCAGGAGGTGCTTCTGGTTCATGCACGCGCTGTGGTGCACGTGGGTGTCCACCTTCCGCACGTTGTACAGGTCGCGATGGGGGGCGCTCTTCTGCGCCTTGAACTCCCGATCCGCGTTCAGAGTCAGGTGCAGGTGGTACCGCTGTGGGGAGTGGGGGGACGCGGGGAGCGGGGACAAGGGGGGGGGTTCAAGAGTCGGGAAAATCAGTTATGCTGAGCGGTGCGCTGAGCGGTGCGCTGAGCAGTGCGCAGTGCTGGGGTGCACGTGGGTGTCATGTCGACCTTCCTCAGCTTCTACAGGTCGCCATGGGGGGCGCTCTTCTGAGCCTTCAACTCTTGATCTGCAGCTGGGCGGTGGGCGGTGGGCGGTGGGCGGTGGGCGGTGGGCGGTGGGCGGTGAACCCAAGACCTCTCTCTTGCAGGGATTATTTATTTATCCCACTAGGACACTAGGTGGATGAGATATTAATAAGCAGCATTACTTTGGAGACAATCCCCACGTGGCAGGATTTTTTCGCACGCCCCTCTTGACCTTTTCCGCTCGCACCCATTGCGGACTTTCCCATGTACCCCTCCTAGGCTTTCTGTTATGGCCCTGGGAGATTGTACTTATTGCATATACGTCACCTACACATACATACAACAAAGAGACATGCATGCATGCACATGCATACACACACATGCATGCACATGCATGCACACACATGCATGCACACACTCCCAGGTCCTCACCTGCTCCAGCAGGCGCAGGCGGTGGAAGCACAGCGAGCGCACATGGCCCAGCGAGGTTATCTTGAGAATGCGGTGCAGATCGGTGAAGAAGGTTGTCGCGTCGTGCATGGGGAACAGCTCCTCGCCCCGCTCCTTGGCTGCACGGGTGGGAGGCAAAGGAAGGTCGGCATTGGGTGGCATCATGCACAGGGAACAGTGCGGTGCAGATCGGTGAAGAAGGGTGCGGCGTCATGCACTACACCACACATGCATGAATGCATGTCACCACTCCACACATACCACACTACACATACCACACCACACATACCACACCACACGTACCACACCACAAATACCACACCACACATACCACACCACACATACCACACCACACATACCACACCACACATACCACACCACACATACCACACCACACATACCACACCACACATACCACTCCACACATACCACACCACACATACCACACCACACATACCACTCCACACATACCACTCCACACATACCACACAACACCGTTTCTGAGATCACCTTCCTTGTCTGTGAATATCTTCACCACCCCATCCACCATCTCGATCACATGCTGCGAGGGAATAGTGAGGAGAGCAGAGGCGAAGAGGGAGGCGAGCATGACAGCAACGTCTGGAATCTCAAGCTGGACGGGGGAACAAGCACGGCTTTCGAGGCGCCTCCCCAAAGGACGGTCTGCTTTTGAGTCGACTAAAAAAGGGAGGCGCAAATAATATCAACGTCTGGACTCATCTGACCTAGGTGCTTTTGGCCGGAAGGTGGAACAAGGACGGCCGCAGAAAGCAACTTAAATTAAGTCTCTGGTTGTGAATCAACTGTCCCTTCGGAGCATCGACTCACATCTGAACCGACTGTCCCGAGTGTGTATGTATGATCAATGCACGCAGCCACTCACATCCGAGGGCGGAAGGGGCTCGTATCGAAACGGGTCGCTGGGGTCGGGCATGGGCAGCGTGTTGGCGTCGGTGTGCCAGGGCGGCACTGCCTCTCTGAAGACGTACTTGTCCCGCAGCTGCAGACACTCCTGCAGCAGCACGCACACCTCCTCGTCCTCCGCACTGGGCATGTCTGAGCGGAAGACACGGAAGAGCGGGGGAGAGGGGGGAAGGGATGGGGGGAGGGATGAGGGGAGGGATGGGGGGAGGGATGGGGGGAGGGATGGGGGGAGGAATGGGGGGAGGAATGGGGGGAGGAATGGGGGGAGGAATGGGGGGAGAAGAGGGCAAGGACACGCAAGGGCGTTTGCCACTTGAAACAATATTGCAGCAAAACGCACGCCGATCCGCCGTCCCTGGGTCCGACACCGGGTGGTGATTGGTGACTGCTGTCCTGCATGCTCACCGCCCTATGAGCCACGAGCCCTGTGCCCTGCATTCTCTCACCTTGAGGGTACAGGTTCAGCCGCACGTAGTCCCTCCACCTCCGGCGCCTTCCTCAGTCGGTCCGCTGTCCCCGGGTTCCGACACGAGATGGTGAATGCTGTCCTGCGCGCTCACCACCCGCTTCACCCGCGCCCCCAAGACAGGAAAGAGAACCTGGCCTCTGGGGCGAAGGAGCATCACCTTGAACCTCATGTCTCACCTTGCGGGTACAGGTTCAGCCGCACGTAATCCTCCACCTCCGGCGCCTTCCGGAGTCTATCAGCCGTCCCTGGGTCCGACACGGGGTGGTGGATGCTGTCCTGCACGCTAACCGCCCGCTTCACCCGCGCCTCCCCGCGCCCCTCCGCCTCCTTCTTCTCCGCCGCCTCCCCCCCTCCCCCTCCCTCCCCTCCTCCAGCTCCTCCACCATCACCTCCTCCCCCTCCTCCGCCATGTCGTCCTCCTCCGCCTCCTTCTCCTCCTCCTCCTCCGCGCCCGCCGCCCCCACCACCGAGGAATGCGCGCTCATGGAGCGTATGTCAGCAGCGAAAGTGCCTGTGGGGGGGAAGCAGGGGCGGAATTTTGAGTCGACTCAAAAGTCAGCCCGCCCCTCCCACCACCGAGGAATGCGCGCTCATGGAGCGTATGTCAGCGGCGAAGGTGCCTGCCGGGGGGAAGCAGGGGCGGAATAGGAGTGGGGCGGGGAATGCGCACTCATGGAGCGAGGGGCGGATAGGTCAGCACCTGTCGGGGAGGGGGAAGGGGGAGCGAGGGGCGGGCAGGTCCACGGGGATTTGGGGCTTAGGGTAAGCAACGAGGGGGGAAGGGGCGGCCAGCACGGCAGGCGCAGATGTATTGGCAGCAGCAAGGCTAGCGGCGCTCAGAGCGGACTCAAAGGCGGAACAACGAGGGGGGAAAGGACGGCCACCACGGCACCCCCTCCGCTCTCAGTCCCCATTGGCCCACCCACCGTCTCTCACCCCTGACGCCACCGCAGCTGATGCATCAGCCGCACCGAGCCGGACGGCGCTGAGAGCGTGCATGTCGTGCTGCCGGTCCAGTGACGACGCGAGCTTGCTTACAACCTCACCTCATAGCACCCCCTTCCTTTTGAGGAACCTCCCCTCAAAAGCAACCTCACCTCATAGCACCCCCTTCCCCTCCCAGCCCCGATTGACCCACCCACCTTCTCTCACCCCCGACGCCACTGCGGCAGACCCATTAGAAGCAGACGCATTAGCAGCACCAAGCCGAGCAAGCGTGCATGTCCTGCCGGTCCACGGTCGACGCGGGTCTATTTGAAATCTCCCTCCACACCAACCCACCGTCTCTCACCCCCGACGCCACCGCAGAAGACGCGTTCGCCGCAGCAAGCCGCGCGGCGCTCAGCGCGTGCATGTCCTGCTGCCGGTCCAGCGACGACGCGAGCCTATTTGGAACCTCCCCCTCGCGCAAAACCCACCTTCTCGCAATCCCGAAGCCACCGCAGCAGACGCATTCGCCGCAGCGAGGCGCGCGGCGCTCAGCGCGTGCATGTCCTGCCGGTCCAGCGACGACGCGAGTTTTCCGGGCAGGCTGCCCGGGCTGAAGCTGCCCGCGAGCGGGTCGAACGCGTAGGGGTTTGAGGGATTCGCCTGGGGGTTTCGTTGGCTGCGCTGCTGCCGCAGCGGCACGCCCGGGGTCGGCGCAGCTCGGCGCGCAGGGGCGGTCGTCACCTTGCGCATCTTCTGGGGCTTCAGCTGGAGGGAGTGGCGGGGGGGGGGAGGGGCGAACGGGGAACGGTAGCGGGATGGGAAACGGCTCGGCGCGCAGGGGCGGTGGTCACCTTGCGCGTCTTCTGGGGCCTGCCGTTCTCTCAAGCTCGCACACGTCAACGCGTAACGAACTGGGCTAGAATGAGCGGGCGAGGCGGGGTACTGGCATCATTCCCTTAGGCTCGCAGCTCAAAAGAGCTCTTGGACATCAAAAGAGCCTGCGATCCATTCTAAGTGCAGTGACTCGGACACTGCGATCCGACTGGCTACTCATTCACGATCAGCTTTCGCACGAGGAACGAACCGGCAGATTTTAAGGCGCCCAGAAAAGGCTGGAAAGGTCCGGCCTTTTCCCTCAGCCCCCTTCCCCCTCCGGTTCCGAAGATCCGGCCGCTGAAGCGTGAGAGGATGCGCGCGCGTTCTTCGTGACTTTTAAGTCGACTCAGAAGTCACCTCGTGAGAGGATGCGAGATATGTTTTAGAATTCTCAAAAACCTCGTGAGAGGAAAAGAGCGCGTTCTTCGTTTCAGCGCTGCTGTCAGTTTCGCGAAACACACCTTGCCATCCTGCTCCGCGAACTTCGCGAGCGCTTGCGAATGGAAGTAGTACGATGCGGCCGCCGCAACCACGGCGCCGGTTCCCGCGGCCAGCAGCAGCGCCGCCCAGTTGCCGCCGTCAGACGCTGACGTGGCACTCCCCGCGTGTGCCATAGTTAAACGTTGGTGACGAGGCTACAGCGCTGACGAAACTGGCCTACGTTCAAAAGCCTGCGAATGTGCGTATGCTTGAGTACTGACTACTTGTCGCTAACCTTTAAATGCAGCGGCTCGCTAACACGCGGAGCCGCTGACAGGCGAAAGCGAGTATGAGGTGAACGCTAGTGGCCTAAGATCAAGAAACGAATCTGGCAGGTCTAGGGCGCTGTAAGGAATTAGGGTTGTCAGGTGAGGGGTTGAAGGCGGGGTTTGATCAGCGCATCATGTGATGACACCCCGAGAAGTGTTTTGGAGGGAGGAAAGTGACACTTGGCCTCAGAGGTGGGACTGGAACGAGGTGTGCTGATGCTGGTGATGTGCTGATGCTGATATGCCACATACCCCGTTCTGCGGATGGGTGTCGTGGAGCCAAACAAAAGGATGTGCGTGTTGACTCGGATAGGTCAGAAACGACAGTGTTTGTAACGAGCTGACGAATGGGAGAGTGACACTCAGCCAGCAGCATCGAATCACATTGAACTGATTGGGATATTTGCTGTTCCTTTTGCACTTTCTCTATTGTAATAAGCGACGCCGAACTATACATATTTTTTTTGGGCTTCATTCTTTGGATCATCTCGTCTGTACACTGAAAACTTCACTATAGAGTTTCTGGATTCTGGAAACGGGGATTTCCTCAGGGGACGCCGTGTCTCACGCGAGTTGGAAGAATTCTACCCTTCCCGCCAAGTCGTTTTCGATAGCGGGAGTTGCGCTTCATGTGGTTAGCCGCGACGCGTTGTTGTTCAACACTTTTCTCCAGATGGGGAATTTGTCGGTCATGCCAAATTAGGGCTGGGATGGGATGGGACGGTTGCTCCACGGGCAGGTTCACACACCAATTTGCGACGAGCTCGTTTCTGTATGTACGGACAGATGCCACCCACAGTCGTTTCATTCTGCCCGTCATGCCTCAATTGTTTTCCTAATTCAGCTTTCTCCCTCCAGCGAGTATAGGTGACACGCAATTATTCCTCGAGGCAACATTTCACACCCATTTTCGTCGGCCTGCCCGCAGTACGGGCGCAAATCTGCCTCCGGCCAATCCCCTCTTGCCGCGATAGTCCCATTCTCTCCCTCCAACCATTTTCGTTGCCCTCTCCCCTCCAGTCCCCACCCCACCCCACATGCTTGCAATCTTGCGTCACAATGGGGAGCAACGATGTCGGCTCTTGCCCGCATGCCACTCTTTCTCTGTCCGACGTTCCTTTCCCACTCAGGCCCAAGCCATGCGCCGTGCCGCTGCTGTCGCCATAATCGCCTGCCAGGTGTCTGTCACTGCAGGACTTTCCGGCCATCTTTTTTGTGCCAGAACTCCGTCCTCCCCCCCATCTGCCCTCATTAGCAGGTTCCGAATTGCAGCGCGTAGTGCGACTCCTTGCGACCAACCCACCTGGGGGGTTGTTTACCTTTCCCCTTCGCACCGCAATTCGCCTCTCGTCTCTTGCGCATTCCATCCATCCACAACTTTCATCACCCTCCTCTCGTTTCTCAGCTTTGCTAACTTTTCTTGAGAGCCCATCTCTTCCGAAGATTCCACTCCCGAGCGCCCATCCCCCTAGAGCCTCCCGTCTGTTGCCGTTAGCCTCCCAGCGCGTCCCCTTGAGAATCCCCGTTCGCGGCATCGTCTGTCTCCCACCGCTTCACTGACGACTGCCGACGGTCGGGCTGCATGATCTCACCGTCACGGGGTAGCTTCAAGTAAGTTACTTGCTGCCGAGGTCTTCCGCGCTCCGCCGCATCAGAGTCGACTCCAGCGCGCCATCTGCCCTTTTTCTTCTCCGCCTGCGCCGCCATGGCGCGTCCCCGCGCTCCCCTCTCCGCAATCCCGGGCCTTTGCGGTGTGATTTTCTGCGCGCTCGCGGTTTTCCTCCCCACGACCTCCGCCGCGACTTCCGCCGGGACTCCCGCCGCAGATGTCGCCGTGCTTCTCGCCTTCAAAGCCGCCGTCACCAACGACTCGCTCGGCGTGCTCGACACGTGGACCGCCGGCCCCACCGCCTGCGCATTCAGCGGCGTGTCTTGCGCAGGAAGCGAGCCGGACCGCGTCTCCGCTATCATTCTGTCGCAGGGGTTTTTAGAGGGGCAGCTTATATCGGATATTGGGAAATTGGACCAGTTAGAGGCGCTGGAGCTGGATGGTAACCAGTTCTCTGGCGACATTCCCGACGAAATCAGCCAGTTGACGAAACTGAGCGTGCTGAGTTTCGCTCAAAACCAGTTTACCGGGCAGATAAAAGAAATCTTCTCTACACTCATCGGTCTGCACTCCCTCTCTCTCTGCTCGAACCTCCTGACGGGTAGCCTGCCCTCGCAGATTTTTAAGCTGCCCGACCTTGAGCTGATCGACGTCAGCAACAACCAGCTGACCGGCGGTCTGCCCGGAAACGCTTTTCGTTTCGCGACTGCCCTGACGTCCTTGTCTGTCGGGGTGAACAGTATGTCCGGGCAGATCCCGAAAACAATCTCCGCCATGTCTTCCCTAGTATCCCTAGACCTTCGCGCGAACGCGTTTTCCGGCGCACTCCCTTCAGCTCTCGGCCACCTCCCCCATTTAGAGTACCTCGATATCACCGTGAACTCGTTTACTGGCGGGATTCCCAGCAGCTTCGCCAATCTCGACTCGATACAAGCACTTATCATGGCGAATTGCGGGTTATCGGGTCACATTCCATCGGTTATTTTCAACCGCATATCCGACACTCTCCAAGTCATCGATGTAGGCATTAACGCGTTTACAGGCAGCATTTCCAAATTCGCTACACTCACCCAAGCCATCTATATCGAGTTGTCCGATAACGAGTTCACAGGGGGCATCTCGGGCGCGTTCGGCTCGCTCCCCAACCTGCAGCAGATCGGCGCGTCCAATAACCAGCTGACAGGTGGCCTGCCGTCCGCCCTGGCAAACGCGCCGAGCCTGGGGAACATTATCTTCGACGGCAACCGGCTGACAGGTCAGCGACTCATTCTGCTTTCCCGAATCTCCTGCCGCCTCTACACCTCCCACCTTATTGTCTCCTGCCCGCCTCTACTCCTTCCACCTTATCGTCTCCTGCCCGCCTCTACTCCTTCCACCCTATTGTCTCCTGCCCGCCTCTACTCCTTCCACCCTATTTTCTCCTGCCCGCCTCTACTCCTTCCACCCTATTGTCTCCTGCCCGCCTCTACTCCTTCCACCCTATTGTCTCCTGCCCGCCTCTACTCCTTCCACCCTATTGTCTCCTGCCCGCCTCTACTCCTTCCACCCTATTGTCTCCTGCCCGCCTCTACTCCTTCCACCCTATTGTCTCCTGCCCGCCTCTACTCCTTCCACCCTATTGTCTCCTGCCCGCCTCTACTCCTTCCACCCTATTGTCTCCTGCCCGCCTCTACTCCTTCCACCCTATTGTCTCCTGCCTGTCTCTTCTCCTGATTCGTCCAGCCTTCTCCCGTGCTTGATGAACATCTTCATCGGCAAATCACTGCCTAGTCAGGAGTTCTCTTCTCTCCCATCTCACCAGTGCTCAAGGGTCACTTCTTCCCTTGGTCCCTTGTTGGGAGAGTAGAAATGTGCATGTTTCTAGTGGCCCCTTTCCCGGCGTATTTTGAGTCGACTCAAAATACACCTGAAATGGGCATGTCTCTAACGGCCCCTTTCCCCTTCCATTCTCTTCCCCCTCTGCTCCCCCCTCTCCCCACCCACACCAGGCAAGCTGTCTTCAGCCTTCAACTGCCAGAAGCAGGGTCTCATGTCGCTCTCCCTCGCCACCTGCAAGTCCACCCTCTACCAGCTCGACCTCTCCGACAACTCCTCCTCGGCTTTCAGACGCCTCAAATCCCCCCCTCACTCAACTTCCCCTCCTCTCTCTATCCTCCCTTGTGCTCTGCTCTGCCCCCTGCTTCCCTTTCCCCCCAGGCAAGCTGTCTTCTGCCTTCAACTGTGCGAAGCAGGGTCTCATGTCGCTCTACCTGGCCAACAACCAGCTGTCCGGCGCCATCCCCTCCTCCCTCGCCAACTGCAAGGCCACGTTCTACCAGCTCGACCTCTCCAACAACTCCTTTTCCGGCCGCATTCCGCCCGCGCTGGGCAGCCTCGCCGAGGTCCGGAACTTTTCGCTTGCCCGGAACAATTTCTCGGGCAGCATCCCTGCTGCCCTGGCAGGGATGAAAAGCATGGAGGTGCTTGACCTGTCGTTCAACCAGCTCGAGGGTTCAATTCCTGCTGCGCTCGGTACGCTAGAGGGTTTGCAAGAGGTGCATCTTCAGGGGAATGGTCTTTCTGGTCCGGTGCCGACCCAGTGGGCTGCTTTTCCTGAAGCGTCTTTCACACCTGGGAATGCTGGTCTGTGCGGCGCCCCTTTAGCTGCCTGTGCTGTTGCAAGACGGCTGCTGGCCCTTGCATAAACACACTAGTTATGCAATACTTACGTACCTCTGTGGCACAACCGGTTCATGCTTCTATTGCTACCCTCCGAGCCTTCTTTCACTCCTGGGGATGCCAGCTCGAGTGGTGCATGCAATGCTTGACGAATGCGACCATTCCCCTGAAGATGCACACTTCTGGCTCTTACTCCTGAGCTGCTCAGCTCGCTGCAGAGCCCACTTCATTTGCTTGGATAGATAACTCGTCTTCCTTACTCCTATTTTCGTGGCACATGGCAGTCTTCAGGCTTGTGGTAATACTTAAATATACCGGTGTACTTATATCAGAGGAGAGTCCAAGACTAGACTCAAGAGGCGAAAAGAGCTGAAAGCAGGTCCATGCCCTGGTGGGGAGGAAACCCAAGGTGAAAAGTGAGCCGCAGGGTGAAATGGAGGGAAACAGGGAGAAACAGGGAGATGAAGAGTTCAACAGAGAACACTGAAACCAGGAGTACCTGCATACGTAACACGACAATACAAGTTCCCAGAAAAAGAGCACTAAAGTGAGAGCAAAAGGCAGGGGTTGGCCGCCCCCACGAGAGACGAACAGCAGCTTGAGAGTACATGGGATGGGAGGAAGACTTACCCGAGAGTAGACGGCGGGGGAGGCAGCCTTCAGCACACCCCTAAGGCACCGCATGGTCCCTGGTGCCCTGATGCTGCCTGCCCCGCCAGACTGTTCCAAGCCAGCAGGACTGTTCCAAACCAGCAGCAGCAGAAGGGACTTCCACACAATGGCAGGAGTCGATCGATGAGATGAGAGGAGGACTTACCCGGGAGTAGACAGCAGGCGAGGCAGCCTTGAACCCCTAAGGCCGGATGGCCCCATGTGTCCTGATGCTGCCTGCCCCTAAAAACAGGACTCTTCCAAACCAGCGGCAGCAGCAGGGACTTTCACAAAATGGCAGCAGGAGAATATGAGAAGACTAACCCGGGAGTAGACGGCAGGGGAGGCAGCCTTGAGCGCCCCCCCCTAAGGCACCACATGGCTCCATGTGTCCTGGTGCTGTCTGGCCATGCAGCACATCACAGGCAGCCGTCAAAACACTCTCAAACAGAAGTCTTACCTGGGAGTAGACGGCAGGAGAGGCAGCCTTAAGACCCCCCCCCCTAAGGCACCGCATGGCCCCATGCGCCCTGATGCTGCCTGAACATGTTTCACACACAGCCCCACACTCTCAGACGGAGGATGTCTTACCCGGGAGTAGACGGCAGGGGAGGCAGCTTTGAGCACGCCTCTAAGGCACCGCATGGCCCCGTGCGCCCTGATGCTGCCTCGCAAGGGGGGGCTGTGCCGAGCCAGCAGCAGCAGCACATCCAGCGCCCGAACCAGCACAGCCTCGTCATCCGAACCTAGCAGCACGACCAGGTTCGGGATCGCCGGGCCTAGCCCTTCCCGGCCCTGGGGCGAGGCTGCAAGGCTGGAGAGGGCAGAGAGAGCCAGGAGAGTGAGTGTGGGGGGAGAAGGGGAGGGCGAGGAGGGCTGCGCGGATGATAGTGGCAGATGGGAGAGCGGAGAGTGCGGGGGGGATAGCAGGTGGGAGAGGGCGGGTATGGTGCCATCTGCAATGAAGCGGGTGTGCCGTGAGGTGCACTGCGCAAGGCAGGCTAGAGCTTTCACTGCTGCTACCCTAGCTGCTGCTTCTGCTGCTGCTGATGCTGCTGATGCTGCTGTTTCCGCAGCTGTGGCTGGTGCCAGTGTCACTACTTGCGCTGCTGAGGCTTCTGCTGCTCCTTCTGCTGCTGTTACAGCTGCTGCTAAGTATGCTACCTCAGTCGCACCTCCTGCAGGGTTGCTGCTGCAAGCCACTGCTGCCAAATGCGGCAGAGCACCAGCATCAATCACAAGGCTGCTAGCATCTCGAGATACGGCCCCTAACGCAGTGAGAATCCGGGCTAGTTTGGCCTGAGAAGTGAAAGACTTAGCTAACAGTGCGACCCTGAGGCACTCAGCTAATGCCAGTAAGTGCTCCTGCAAGATCTCGGCCTTTGATTCGTCTTCAGTGGAAAGATTCGCCAGCGCTCGTACTGCTGCCTCTGCTGCCTTTGATTCTTTCTGCCCGCGGTTTGCTGCAGCAGCCACTGGTATGAGCGCGCCGATCACTCCGGCTGCCCGAAAAGCTGCCCGATTTGACCGGGAAAACTTAGTGTGCCAGCCTACTAGCCCGGCTGCCTGGGCTTGATCATCAGGGGAACCAAACTTCAGAGAGTGAATAATCTGCCTGGTAACATCGGATTCCGTTGCTCCTGCTGCTCCTGCTGCTCCTGCTGCTGCTGCTCCCGAACTGGGCACTGTGGCATTAGCTTGTGCACCTGCTGCTGCTGCTGCCGGTGCTCCTCCTGCTCCTGCTGCTGCTCCTGCTGCTGCTCCTGCTGCTGCTGCTGCTGCACCTGCTGCAGCAGCTGTCCCTAATTTCGCATCAGCTGCTGCTGTTCCTCCTCCTGCTACTGCTGCTACGCCTGTCCCTATCTTCTTAGCAGCAAACACATCTAACCCGTTCCATAGCCCACCCCCACCCCCACCCCCCACAACCACTCTCCTCCTAACAGGCGACCTCCCTCCCACACTCGCAGCTCCTCCCTTCCCCACAGTCCCCCCTGCAACCGCTGCCAGCCCAGTCGCCCCCCTGCATCTCAAGGGGCTGGTGCCGGGGCTCGGGTTAGGACTGGGACTGTGCGACTTGTGAGTCGACTCAGCAGTCACCTTCCCAGCCCGCGCCCTGCACCGTAAGGGACTAGTACCTGGTGAGCCGAAGCCAGGACTCTTGGGTGAAAGGGGGGGATGCGGGGAGGGGGAGAAGGGGGTGGAAGGGGAGGGGGAGGGGGAGGGGGAGGGGGAGGTGCCTGCAGTGGAGGAGGGGGGTGAAGTGGGGAAGGGGAGGGGGAGTTGGGGGTGGGAGTAGGGGGGAGTGGCTGTAGGGTGAACCGATCCAGTCACTGCTGGTCTATCTGCTGCTGCTGCTGCTGCTGGTGGTGGCGGTGCTTCTGGTGCCGTTGCTCCTGGTACTGCTGCTGGTTGCACTGCTACAGATGGAGCCAATACGTTTGGGATGCTAATGCTACCGCTACTGCTGCTGCTACTGCTGCTGCTACTGCTGCTGCTGCTTTGGCTCCCCCCGTGTGCTGCTGCTGCAGTGCTGACTGATCCTGCTGCTAGTGCTGCCCCGCCCCCTACCTCTGCGTGTGAACCAGCCTGTGTGCTCTCTCTGGCACCACCTGACTGCTGCGCTTGAGAGGCCACTGGTGGAATGCCAAAGAAATCTATCAATCCCTCAGACACGGGAGGGTTGGCTGGTCTTGCTGCTGCTGCTACTGCTGCTGCTACTCCATCTCCTCCTTCCTTTCCCTCGCCTGCTCGTCCCAGCTGTGCCCGCTCTGCTTGGGCGGGCGCTGGCGGCCGGCCAAAGAACACTATCGACCCTTCAGACACAGGAGGGTTGGCTGCTCCTGCTGCTTCTCTCCCTTCCTCTACCTCTACTGTCCTACCTGCTTCTGCAGGCTCTTTTCTATCGCCTTGGTATGCCTGTGCTTGGGAGGGCACTGGCGGAAGGCCAAAGAACTCCATCGATCCCACAGACTCAGGAGGGCTGGCAGGTCCTGCTGCTGAATGTGGCATTGCTGAGTAGAGACTGCAGGTTGCTGCCACTTCCCCTTTTTGCTTGGCCACTGCTGCCTCTCCACCCGGTTGTTTGGCAGGCGCTGGTGGAAGGCCAAAGAACACAATCGATCCCTCAGACACAGGGGCAGTGGCTGGTGCTGCTAGTGACGGTGCTGCTGCTGCTGGCTCTGCTGCTGCTTCTCCTCCTCCCTCTCTCCCTGCTGCTCTGCCCGGCTGGCCAAAAAACTCTATTGACCCAACAGACATGGGAGGGTTGGTCGGTCCGGCTGCTAGTACTGCTCCCCCCTCTCTCTCAGATCCATTGCCCGCTTGCAAACCCTGTGCTCGGAAAGGCACTGGAGGAAGGCCCAAAAACTCTATGGATCCCACAGACGCAGGAGGATTGGCTGGCCTCATATCCCCCCCCCCTCCTCCTGACACTACTCCTGATGCTACTTCTAGAGCTCCCTTTCCAAGGTGCCCAGATTTCGACCCGTTTGAGCAGGCAGACAGCGATGGGGCGCCCATCAGCTCGACTGCCTGCAGGGAGAAGGGTGCGTTCGGCCCTGAGTTTCTTGTAGCAGCTCCAACCGCAACAGTCCCAGAGGCCGTGGCAACAGAAGCCGTGGCACCTGCTGTGTTCGCTGCTGCTGCAGCTGATCTGGCTGAGAATTGCTGAAAGGGGTCGAAGGTGAGCGACCCCCCTCCACTGCCAAAGCCGCTGCTGATTCTGTCGCTTGCATGGGGTGCTGTCCTGGGCCTCGCCTGAACCTGCTGCTGCTGCTGATACTGATACTGGCCCTGCTGCTGCTGCTGGTAGTGGCGGTGTCTCTGTGACCCAGAGTCCCCCCTGCCTCCCGCCCCCACTCCCGAATCACTGTCAGAGTCGAAGCTCAAGACAGGAAACCCCTTATTTGTGCCATTGCTGTTGCCGCCGCTGTTGCTGCCGCTGTTGCCGCTGCGGCTGCTTCCTCTGTCGCCCTGCGCGCAGCTTTGCTGCTGCAGGGAGAAGATGGAGGGAGGGTTGCCCTTCTGAGGCGTCCCAAACTGGTTGCTCTGTGCGTCGCTGGGCTGCTGCACGGAGAAGATACTGGGCGGGGTGAAGGCGCGTTGGCTGGGAGGAGGGGAGAAGATGGAGGACGGGCTCTGAGCTTGCTGCGTCGACAGAGGTGCGAAGATGGAAGCCACTGTGTTCTTATGCGAGGAGGTGGTGGTCGCATTGCTCGGGGCTGCTAGGAAGAGTGACCCTCCTCCTTCATGCTCCCACCCTGCCGCACGGGCATGACCGTTTCCTTGTAGGGCCACCTGCTGCTCCATCTCCTTGTGCACTGCGATCAGCTGAGGGGGGGGAGAGGGGAGAGGAATTGCAGGGGATAGGGGAGGGGAAGCAGCACGAGAGTTGGCTTTGGCGCGCCTCAGAACTGGTTTCCTTGCAGGGTTAAAACTGCCGCTCCATCTCCTTGTGAACGGCAACAAGCTGAGGAGGGGGAGAGGGGAAGAACAGAGAAGGAGCGAGAGGAGCAGACAGGTGGGGAGGAGAGAAGAGAGTTAGAGCCACATGGAAAGAAAGATAGGCGCATGCTCACCCACAACTGATCCACAACTCACCCACAACTCACCCACAACTAAACCGCAACTCATCCACATGCTAAACCACATCTCACCTCATCCACCAGCTTGGCGTGGGCCGCATCTCTCCCCTCCTTCGCCTTCCGCCTCTCCAGCGCCAGCGCCTCCCCCTCATTCCGCAACGCCCCCCTTCCCTCCCCCTCTCCTCCGCCCTCCCCTCCTCCATCCCCCAGTCCCAGCTCGTCCGCCAGTTCCACAGCCAATAGGGGCTCCTTCACCGCTCTAGGGGGTGGCTGCAGCCCCGCTGACTTGGCCCTTGCCTCTTCGTCTCTGGTGTCCTTCAGCTGCTGCAGCAGGGCCTGCAGGCGCTGCTGCATGCGCGCCGTGAGGCACTCCTTGAATGGCGTGGACTGCAGCTGCTGACGCACGGCTGAGATCTGGGGAATGGGGGGAAGCGATGGGAGGGGGGTTGGTGTTGGATGGGAGGAATGAGAAGAGGCAGAAGGAAGAAGCGGACTGCAGCAGTGTCTGCAGGTGCTGCTGCATGTGCGCCGTGAGGCACTCCTTGAAAGGCGTGGACAGCAGCTGCTCACGCACGGCTGAGATCTCGGGGGAGGGGGGGGGGGGGTGGGGGGGGGGGGGTGTCGTGGGTGGGGGGAGGGTAGAGGCAAGCAATGGAAGGGAGGGGCTGGAGAGGGTGTGCAGGTGCTGCTGCATGTGCGCGGTAAGGCACTCTGTATAAGGCGTGGACAGCAGCTGCTGACGCACGGCTGAGATGAGATCTGAAGGCGTGAAGATGGGCAAAGGAACAGGGGTGGAAATTTCGGGGGGTCGGGGGGGGGGGGGGGAGGGTGGAGGGGGGGAGGAGGGGGGGTTGGGGCTTGGGGAGGAGTGAGGGTATGCGATGCGGAGACGAAGTGAGTGAGGAAAGGATAAGGGGGGACAAATGGGGGGCACGAAGGGAGGGGGGAGAGGGCGGGAGGGGGAGTGTGTACAGGTGTCCAACAGGGGGCATTGGGGCGAGGAGAGAAGGGGGGTTGGATCAGGGGGAAGGGTGGGGGGAGAAGATACACGCCAGAACATATCTGACGCCAGGCGAGTTATGATTTCACTCAAAAGCTACTTGTGCAATGCTGGTGCTTGCCTGAGCGACGAGTGGCTGCGGGAGCGTGTGCAGGGGAACGGACGCCAGGCACTGTTCCATGTCCGCATGCAGACGGGTGAAATCGTCCGCCTTAAGAGCATGAGCCGATACAAGCTGCACATCGAACAGACCGCACAGTGCCATGCAGCAGTTGCCATGTAAAGGGAAAAGTCGTCAAATAAACAGCATGAACAGGGTAGCGGGGAAACGACAAGGAAATATTGCAGTTCTGACATACACATACACAGATCAGCTTTCAGGATGGTGGCCGGGCCTCTGGCGATCGGACTCACATGATGATGTCACATGATGACGTCACATCATGATGTCACATGATGTTGACGTCACATCATGATGCCACATGGCGATCAGCTTCACATGATGGTGTCCCTAGGCTTACCTGGAACACCTTTACTCCTGGCGCTGACGCAACGTGGTAACAATGTCGTCGCCTTTCGCAGCCAATCATTCAGCCTCTCAGACGACTCTTCTTTCTCTGAACCCACCTGAAGTAACTTGCTCCTGGCGCTAATGCAACGTTGTAACAAATTCGTAACTTTTCGCAACACATCCTCCAGCTTCTGAAACGATTTCTTCGCTCCGGAAGTCCCAGCACCCCAGGCTCTGAAATCTTTCAATCTGCCCAGAAGAACGTGCAAGCTGCCCATGGCTTGGAGCATAAGATCGAAATTATGGAGGTAAGCGCTGGTGGTGACGCCGTCTCGCATTTGTAGCGAAAACTGCGTGAGCGTCATGCAGCTCGCTATAATGAGGATAAGCACTGGATCCATAGTCGTTAACGGGACGCGCTTAGCGGGGACGGAGTGTGGGGATAGTTAGAGGCTTATAAGCCGTTATTGAATAGGAGGCGAACTGTTAATGGGTTGAAGGGGGGAAAGGATGAAGGTTATCTGTT